GCTTCTACCGGCTGATTGAAGTAGCTGGTGACTGCATTTGGGGAGCTTCCATCGCCTGAAAAAGACTGCCTAAAGGCGAGGGGACATGGGCGTATGGGCCCTCTAGGTGGGGGAGGAAATTAAGTCACCCCCGAAAAGACGGCCTACCCGTTTTTTCAGGGGTCAAAAAAAAATAAGGACCGGCCTTATTTTGTGAGAAACACAGTAACAACTTGTGTGATGAGTCGGCCACACACCAGCAAGGAATGGAATTGGAAACTGCTTTTCTTTTTCTTTCTCTTAGATACGTAGGGTAGGTTTCAGTAACTGAACACCAACCAGCCCTCCTTCCTGTAACAGAATTATGACCAGATGAAAAGGAAAAGTTGATGGCTACAGTCATTTGAGTACCAAATATGGAGAAAGAAATGCTGTAGTCATCCTATCAAGATCTGGCAGACAGGTTGAGACGGGCCTGTTTTCTTTGAAGTCTCAGGCTCTACAGTTATTAATCCCATCATCTCCCTGCAACAGAGCAACATTTGGAGGGGAAAAAAACCATCTTTGAGATACAAATAAATAATTGCCTATATTAAAGTTTATGTTCACATTTTGTACTTAAGATCATTTTTGTATCCTCTTTGACTTTAATAAGCAGTATTTTATGAAATAAATTATATTCTAGGGAAGAAGTCAGGCATGATATTCCCCTCTGAAAAAAAAATCGGGGCCGGCCAAAAGAGACCCCCCCCACCGCGCGCCAAGAAATCGCTGCCCAGCTCCCTTTTCCTGCCGCTCAGCGGCCTCCCCTCGCACCGCCCGGGCTCCGCTCGCACCGCCCGCCCGCCCGGGCTCCGCTCGCACCGCCCACCCGCCCAGGCTCTGCTCAGGTATCCGGCTGGGGCTGTCAGGAGTTGCTAACGCTGGCGCGGCTCCGCGCGGCTCCAGTCCCGCGTTGCCTCGGGAAGGGAAAGGCAAAACCAGGAGCCGCTGCTGCCGTTGCAAAGTGCCGCCGCGGCTCTTCCTTTTTGCCTTTCCCTTCGTGAGGCAACGCGGGACTGGAGCCACGCAGAGCCACGCCAGCGGTAGCAACTCCTGACTCGGGGCCTCCGAGGAGAGGGGAAGGAGGAGAAGAAGGGGGGGGAAGGGGGGGCGATTCCCCAAAAAATCGGAATTCCGATTTTAATCGGAAGAATATCATGTCTGGAAGAAGCTCGGTCATAGTAGCTTTTAGTTATTAAAGCAAAAGTTTACTCACAGTTCTAAATTTGTCCATACATGGCCTAGTTATCCCTCATGTATGATAATTTTTTTAAGTTCTAAATTTCTATCTTAAAAAAAATACCCAAGGCATTTGGTTCTGTAAAGTCTTTTAGGAGAAAACCTTTTACAAATTAAAAAGAAGTAAAGGGTAGAAGCTTTTCCAAAGAGAGATCCAACCAAGAACTAAGGAAAAAAATTCTTGATGGTGAAGACAATTAATCAGTGGAATAGCTTGCCTCCTGGAGTTGTGGGTGCTCCATTGCTGCAGGTTTTCAAAAATGGACTGGACAATCATTTGACCAGGACCTTGAGAAGGGGTCTTGAAGACCACCAAGGCTGCTTTTAGCCCTATGATTCTACATTCTAAAAACAACTAAATCTGGATTGGAATAGTGGCAATAGGAAATTGTGAGCCTAGAAATCCAGAGGTCACATTCATCAGCTCATACGTTCAGTATCTGGTCTATGGTAATGGCCAAATGCTTAAACCATTAGATTAATGCTTGGGGAACTAAAGTTTTGGAGCTATAGAATCTATGAAGGATTCTTACATATACCCCTATTTTTGAGGGGGGGGGAGTCCCTAAAAATGTTCTGGCAGATAATCAAAGAGAGATGGTAGCAAAAATGAACATGATATAAACACTTAAGCATATAAAGTGATCTAACTCCAATGTTTGAATATATATATAAAAGAAAGCTTTATTCCAACCCATTTTAGCCTTTCCCAATATTAGTAGATATTCTACCCCTTCAGCTTTCCCACAAAGGAAACTCACAGAAGATCTGGGCGAAAGTGATGTATGAGGGCACAAAGAGCCAATCCACTTTTCCAGGAGTGCGTGAAGTTTTCCACCTTGATGCCATGGTAACTGGCTGTGTTTGATTGGCACCAATTAAGAAGCTCTTCATAGGCTCTACTGGTTTCTGGAGTAAGAGTATGGCATTACAGAGAGAAAAGAGAATTGATATTTATTTATAAGAGTGTCCAATTCCCAGTATGTCTTCAGATACATATTTTATTCATTCCTTTATTCATCCAATTTATAAAGGAAAAGCTTCTCAACATACCAACGTTTTTCTTCAATGGCTGTTGAAAATCAAGCCACTATAATTACTAGCAGAAATCATACAATATTTATGTAACTGATACCCCTGAGTAGGTTATTGTATGACTGTATTGTTATTGCAATGTATAAAACAGTGGTTCAACCAGTCAGATGAAGATCTGTGCAACTTCATTGCCTATAGTTAAGCCAACAAAAGTATATACAAAAATTCTCTAGATTCACATGATATTCCCCTATAGCAACATATATCCAAAACTATTCTATCTAGTTGCAAGACCTAAAGAAGAAACTGCAAGCAGGATGATATGGCAGATTAAAAAGTACTAGAGGGCCAAGAGGTAGCAGTGGCAAGAAAGCAAATATCAGTAGATTTAGATATTTGATGATGAAACACATCTATCTGGAAGTCTGGACAGCCATTTAGCAGATTAGTTACTATATCCTATACTGCAGAATATGCACAATGTGGAAATTGGAAGACTGGAACCAATGAGTCTCAAGGTTATTTCCAATTCTGCAGTTCAATCATTCCTATGCAAGAATCTGCATGGCTGCAGGTGCCATTTTGTTAAAGCAAGACAAAAGTGAGCATAAACAGTGGGATCCTTGCAGCTGGAAGCTAGGAAGAAAGCTACCCAAACTTACCTTTGCAGACTAACTCTGGGCTGGCACGACTTCTTCTCTTGTTCTGCTCCATTTCTATATCTCCCTTAATGTACAGTTTATGAACCTGAAAACAAATGCACCTATTATTTGCTATCATCAACATGACTAGGACCCTGAACAGAACTCCAGCTAATCTATATACCTCCCAAATCCACTCAGCTCCTGAAATCTTCATCTTCCCTGTTCAGAAAATGCACCAAAACCCATTATCCAACTGATCAAACCTTAAGTGTTAGAACAGCCATCAAGAACATCTTGCAGGGAAGATTATTGTTGAGGTCCTACCATAATAAATAACATCACTTTATACTTTCTTTTATGTTTCTGGCTGCAACCAGTGCCAGAGTGGTCAAAACCCAGCTTCCCCTTTGCAACTTGACACTATATTGTGTCAAGTTGCAAAGGGGAAGGTGAGTTTTACAGAGGAACTTAACAATAAAGCCCTTGGTCGGGAAGACAAAGCAAGTATACCTTCTCCTCCATCTCTGTGGCAAAAGTACCTGAGAGATCTTGATTGCCTGAAGGTTGATGTTTGGGTATCGTGTGTTGGGATCAATGCTATACTGATTAATGTTCTTGTTCATGTTGTCAGGTGAAGTCTGTGACAGCCGCTGATATATACTTTCTCTAGGTGGGGATTGAGCAAAAAAGATTCCATCTGAGTTCATGAATGAAGAGGCATATTTTATACCTGGAAATCAGAATCAGCCTGGATGCAACTCAGGGATAACTATACAAGCAATATTCCTTGGTCTTTGCTTCTTTTCACAAGAGTCGTTCCTAATTCGTTCTGCGTGCTCTTGTAGCCATTATGAATATCAATATGTTATCCTATGTTTTGGGGAACATTCACTTTCCTCATGTAATCTTAAATTTTCCTCATTTAATTTTAAACATCCTCCATTAACTTGCCTGCCCTCCAGTCTATCCCCTAGGACCCTAAGCAACACACCCATAATTTCCTTCATAGTTATACAAGCTTTCAAATGGTTGTGTCTGGAAAGAGAAACAAGAAGCTACTGTTAACCATTTTGATTCTTTTCATCCATTTTTGTACTGAGAATGTTCACTGTCTCCAAGCAGCTATTTTCCTTTCACAGGTTAAAAAAATAGAACTTTTTCCTCAAACCAGGCCAAAAACAAATGACTGGGGATTATATCAAGCAAGAAAAAGTTGATAAGCGGGATTTTCTTTTGTTTTGTGTTTTTAAATCCTCCTTCCTTTCTTCCATGATTCTTTCTGCCTGCTAAAATTTACAGCATTCAAAGATGCTCTTTAAAAAAAAACAATATTTTGGAAAATGGTTTAGCTGTGGATAAAACAGCCACTGAAGGCAATTAATGTCCCTGGGGGTATCGCTTGATATCCAATTGCACAGAATAACTGTGACCTCTAGTGAGACTAGAAAAGGACTCCACAGTTAAACATCCTTTTATGGCTGGCTGGGGAATTCTGGGAATTGACGTCCTCACATCTTAAAGTTGCCAAGGATGAGAAACACTGGAAAAAAAATCTGAAGGATTACTACCCCCCGTTACTTTGTGTGTCTCTCTCTTGAGAATCCTAGCTCTGGAAATGCCATACCCCTTTCTCAACATGCTTACCTCTCAGCCAACACATCCAGTGGGGATACTCCTGAGGCCCATCTTTTTACCATCCAAGCAGCATCAAATGCAGCTAAGAAACCTCTGCCCACACCAGTGCCCAAGGGCCAGAATGGCTGGAGAACAAAACAAAACAAAAAAACAAGAGTTCAAGCATTCTGGCTGCTCAGCAACATGGGACAATGACTCAAAGACATTGAAACTGGACAAATGCAGGAGGAATCGGATCTGGGTATGAATCTTGATGCTGCAATTAGTGTACAACTGTCTCACTGTGCAGTGTATGAATTTGAGAAATGCTTGCTTTCCATGGGACCCATAACACTGAGCTTGTTAGCTAGCAAATCGAGCTGTGGGGATAAAAACTACCTAGTAAAGACAAACAAATGAACATGCAAAATTGAAAATCACCTGCATTCTGTCCAGGAAAAGGAAACACTCTGGCCTCAAAAGTCCAAAAGCAAAACTATATTCATATACAAACCACCAAATAATATTGCTCATGTCAAGCACTAGTGAAGAAATGTCTGAGAAAAGTGCACAGAGGGGGTGGGGGGAAATCCCTGTATTCTGCTTGGTCTGGATTTTCATAATCCTTTTTAAAACAACCATTCTGCTGGGTAGAAGGTTTTTATAATAGTTCCCATTATAACAGCTGACATTCAGCAGATTTTTTTCCAAGAAGCTCAGCTTTATTTACATGTTTCCATATGATGACCTTTGAGTAACTTTCAGTAATAATAGAAATGGGAGAACAACCGTCGATAAAAAGTAAAAAGCCTTCCCGGGATATTGCTGCAGTAAAAAAATATGCAAAATCTCCCCTACATAAAATGATGGGGACAGCAAACTTGTAATGGAAAACTGGCTGTAGCCTTGGCTTCTCAATTAACCTAGAAAATTCTTAGCAGATGAACATTCAGCAATACAAGCTTCCTCTGCCTATATATTCTGAAGTAACACATATTGATTGTCCCTAACCAGCTGCTTTCCAGATGTGTTGGATTTCAACTCCCAAATTAGGACTGAAGTTGTAAACTAATACGAGGTTGGGAAAGACTGTCTCCAACTGAATGGGAGTTCCAATCAAATAGGTTTGAAGTGTGCATTTGTCCCATTCTGGAGAAGCCCTTCCAGATGTTAGTTCTGGTCATATTAAGGCCGCACTTACCTCCACCAAGCAGTCTCCCACCAACCCGATAAGCAGCTTAGCGCCATTGCAGTCACGCACCAAAGCTGCATTTTCTGCACGGCTCATGCAGGTGAAGTCAAACATGTCAACATCAGGACGGTGGTGATGGTTTAGGGCAAATTGCAAAGTGGGCAACTGGTAGTTGGTAGAGAAGTTGGCAGCCTCTTTGGCATAAGCGAGAAGGGCTTCCTGGTTCACATTTTCTGGAGAGAGTAAGCTCTCTATGTCAAGCTTATCCTAGAAATATATAGATATTTTTAATGTTCTATAATAATATAGAATAATAATTAAAGAGCCATGAGTTCTATTACTTTAACTTATAAAGCAGCTGTAAGACAATGGGATCTACTATATCTGGAGCCTACTTGCTGGAAGGCTCAGATGAGTAATCTACACTCTGGAGTGAGATGTGGCTCTCATACTGTGCAATCTGATTGCTCCAGCACCTCCCTCTGCTGAAGTCATAGAAAAAACAGGGCTATTTTTAAAAGGGCATAATGAAAGAAAAAGTAGTTGAATCAAAATTGGGAAAAGCAGGAGGCATAAAGTTTCGAACTCCCAAGATATCAAGTTTCAGCATGAATTTAATACAATTAGTACATTAAATATTCATTTTTGTGCCCCCATCGAAATTTAGACATTTTAATTTAATTTTAATCTCAACTGATTGTCAAAAGCATTTATTAAGGCAATTTATTAAAGGCAATTTAAGGAACCAACTTATACAAACAGTAAAGTTTTAATTACATTGCATTGTGAGTGTGGGTATAGCTAAAGGACATAGGTATAGAACATATAGCTGTATGTATAGGATATAGCTAAATATTTTTGGAATAGTTCATCTGCGTGGAAGTAGCATGGAAAATCCTCTGTTCTACATCTACATGTCGCTTTTATATCTCAAGGACTGTAAATCTTAATTATGTTGAATTCAGTCATCTCTTATTTAGGGATAACTCACATAAAATCCTTGTTTAGATTTCAGATTTATGAAGACATTTTTCTTCTTCATTAAGTGAAATGTATATTACATACCTCTTAGTTAAAAAAAGCTCAGTTCATATGTGCTTTCAAAAGTCATCAAAGTTCAATTTAAGGCATTATTTAGTGTTGGATCCACCATTCCACTGATTAAAAATAAGCTTCAAAATGACAAAGATACTACAGGATTTTAGCAATTTTAGAATGATTATTTATTAATTCAATCATGGCATCTGTACCATCATTCAAAATGACGCAATGGGCCCCTGAAAAGGTTTCCAAGCCCTGTCATACATACATTTAAGATTACTCCTTTCTTTAGCAAGCTATGCTTCTTGGCTGTCATGACGAAGTAGTGAGTATCATCTTTATAGTAGACAATGTTTTCCAAATCAATACCTGATATTGTTCAAACACAAAGAAAATGTTATAGATAGACAAGTTTAAAGGAAGATAGTCACATTCCTAAAGAGAAGGCTGCCACTGGGTAACAGCCACACAGGCTCTGAATTACCTGTAGGATCAGAATTAGTCTACAACTCAGTATAGTGGCTGGTAAACAATAGTGAGTGGCTATTGTCCTCATAAACTGATTGCAGAATTCCTTGTATCTTGGGCTATCTCTTGCAGGAAACAGGTTGCTTAACAATATAAGAAAATCCTTGTGGGATCATATGTATTCATATCTTTTTTTGTAACTGGCATTAAAAATACAGGTGTCCTTGACTTACAACAGTTCATTTAGTGAATGTTTGAAGCTCCAGCGGCACTGAAAAAAGTGACTTTTATGACCATTTTTCACACTTACAATTGTTGCAGTTTCCCCATGATCTTTGTGATCAAAATTCAGCTGCTTGGCAACTAACTTGTATTTATGATGGTTGCAGTGTTCTGGGGTCATGTGATCACCTTTTGCAACCTTCCGACAAGCAAAATCAATGGGAAAGCCAGATTCACTTAACAACCATATTACTAACTTAACAATCGCAGTGATTCACTTAACAACTTCAGCAATAATAGTCGTAAAATGGTTAACAGCTGTCTTGGTCAACAAGAAAAAATTTGGGCTAAATTGTGGCCATAAGTCAAGGACTACCTATATTCCGATGTAGTGTGATATAGAACAACATAAATTATAGGATTAAAAAAACCCAAACTAACTTATTTCCCCAAACAACCTATGTACATATATTGATGTATATTTTATTTTACACCACTGAAATTTATGGAAAAATGGAAGGATCCTAAATACTGTTCCAAAAGATATAAGAAATAGTTTTATCTGTTTGCTGACTCACCTTCTCCGTTTCTGCTTGTTAAAAACAATGGAATGTCACAGATTTCAATGCATGATGAAAAACCACGCAAGCTAAAAGTTAAGTGTAAACTCTCACCCGTTTTGTTAAAGAGATTTTGGAAGAACTTCTGGTTGTATATGCGAGCCACTCCACTTATCTCAGCCACTTCCACCTCAGTTTTGCTATGGTTGTTTATAAAATTGGTGGTAATGCCAATAGCCAATTTGCCTCGTGTCTCCTTCCTTTTAAAGCCTGTGAGAAAACATAAAAGAGAGCCTTCCATCGAATGTGAAAGAGGAATCAACCATACAGGAAATGGTCAGGGTTAGAATCAAAAAGAGCAACATAAACTGTACAGAGCAAACCATGCTCAGTGTGTATCGAAATTCATCCAAAATATAATAAATCCAGTTTCTTTGTTACCATATTTTTGGTAGTGAAAGGACACCAAGCAGACAGTACAATGTTTTTGGTGATACTGCCCCTCCAGAATAATCTCTCTTAATTCCTTTGGTTTTAAAATGGTCCCTAAAAATATTACTCTGGTCATACTCTGTTTTAGCGAACATTTCCTGTATTGATTGTAACAGGTAGTCCTTGCTTTGCGATCAAAACTGGGATCAGAACCCGTGGTAAGCAATCTGACGGTTAAGAGAGTCCCGTCTGATTTTTTTGATACCCTGTTTCTCCAACAATACGGCCTCCCCCAATAGGAAGTCCCAGCATGTTTTATAGGTATGAAATGAAATTAAGCCCCTCCCCCCAAATTAAGGCCTATATTAAAACATGTGAAATGGGGGGGAATGGGGGGGGGCTTGCTGTTAGGAAGTACTCTTGTTGCACACCTGGATATGGTGCTGCCTGCGTTGACCCCGATACAAAGTGCCCCACCAACGCCGAGGTCAACATTCAAGCTGTCGCCGCCCACCCGCCCAAAGATGCAAGGGGGGGAATTAAGTCACTCCCGAAAAGACAACCTAGCCATTTTTTCGGGGCTCAAAAAAAAATAAGACCCGGCCTTATTATATGAGAAACACGGTATTTTGTGCTGTAAATCATTAAGCGAATCCAGCTTCCCCATTGACTGTTTACTGGAAGCACCCTGGGAAGATTGCAAATGATGATCAGGGGACCCCGGACACTGTAACCGTGGTAAACCCATGCCAACTGCTTGAATTACTAACATGGGACCATGGGATGCTGCTATAATTGTGAAGGCTGGCTGTAGGTCACTTTTTCTAGCACCATCATGTTTTGACTGGTTGGTAAACAAATGGACATATGTTGAGGACTACTATAATACTAATGCAAGTATTTAATACATTACCAGTAACTGAGAATTTTGTTTAGGATTAGCAGATCTGGGCTACAAAAAGTTCATTGAGTAAGGGTTAGAGATTCTTTGCTTCTTTGATGTTAGGTAGCAGTTATTCAGGTGTTTGCAACCTCAATGTATAATAAGCCTTAGAGTTATTGCTTCCTTTTCTTACAATATGCATTAACTGCCTTCGTGCCCCCCAAAAACATAGACTAAAAAAAATAGGTAACAATAAAATACACCGATGTTAAAAATGGGATTCATCATAGGAGGATTATATAATTTTGAGAAAGCCTTTGGAGAAGATGCAGCATCCTGGTACGAGGGACTCATTTTTGCTTCTTATGGCTAGCATTCAACAAAATGAGTCTGGAAGAGAACAATTTACTATTGGGGGGAAAAGTGTGGAAAATGAACAATTCCAGACAAGGAATGATTATAAATTTGGGGCATTACTGGAAATGCTCAACATAAATAAATTAAAAATAAAACAAAATAAATAAATAAATTCAAAGGGCAGAATTGATGGACCCACTAGGTCTTTTTCTGCTGTTTTCTATGTTTCTATGGGTGGAAGCAGAACTAGCTCATATGTGCTGAAGCGTCTACAAAGAATTTTCCTTTTTATTTTATTTTTAATTTACTCTCCAGCTGAAGGCAAAATGCCTTTTGGAATCTTTTGAAATGGTATCTGCTATTGAGAGTGAGCGCAGCACAGGTACTAGAAGAAGAAAACAAATGAACAAACAAAGCTGGACATCCATTTTTATTTTCATACTTAAAATTTCACAGAATCTGCAGTAAAATTGAGAGGAGATGCTAAAAAAAAGAAACGGGAGTTTCTCTCTAAAATCACGTGCTACCTAATGTTTTACTCCTTAGGCACTGTTTGACTATAATACTACACCTGACTTATATTTAATTTTTTAAAAGCCTTACTCTTAAATAGGCAATTTCAATTTACTGTCACAATTTCACAAACTTATATATTATAATGCCAAGTTTAATACAAACATTGGGGTTTCTTTTGTCATCTAAAAGACTGGAAAAATATTTCTCCGAACATTTGTCTCATTTACAATGACAAAAAATGAGGTTTGTGGAAATCTTCACAATCCAGGGTATTTACAGCTTTTTTACACCGGATTCTCCTATCTAATCTCAGTTAAATTACATCATTCACCTTCAGTTTTGATACCAATAAACATTCAGCCTTGAACCTATTTTTACAAGCTAGAGTTGCAGGTTCTCATTCAGCTGGAGCACGTTTTTTTCCAAATAATAAAATTATAATATCTGTAAGAAGTCTCTAAATCTGGACATGTTTCTATAATGTTCCCCCAATTCTGTCCATCTATTGACTTGTGAATGTTTACACAACGCTTATGCAAAGAGGATGCAAAGAGTGATAGGCCATATGTGACTGCTTACCTTACCTTCTGGCACAAACCTTCCACCACCAGCAGAGATGAGAATATCAAACTCATATTGGCTCAAGGGAGAGGAGCCAGGCTGCAGGTCAGCTCTCCATCCACTGACTGCAATATAAAGATGAAATCAAGACTCTGGCCATGATGGCAGCAAATCAACTCCTTGTCACAGACATGTGTGTTTATAAAGGAATCAGAAGCACATTCTACTGGCTTAAAGACCTGTGGCTGGCTGAAAAGTAAGTAACAGTCCAACCTATTTTGGCCCTTGCTAAGAATTAATGACCCAATTTAAAATTAATTCCCACACTTTTGCTTAGAGAGAAGCAATTTTGCTTACAGAGGGACCTTTAGCCATACTTTAAAACAGGGGTGTCCAACCTTGGCAACTTTAAGACTTGTGGACTTCAACTCCCAGAATTCCTCAGCCAGCAAAGCTGCTTTAAAATATCAGGAAAAAAAATCATGAAACTGGAATTGTTTTACAGGCTAAAACTTTAGAGCCATGAGTAATCAAGAAGATTGGAAATTATTGGGGAGAAGCAACCAGTGCTGATTTCTTTCTGGTTTTATTATATGGAAAGTCTGGACATCTTTAAACCAAACAGAATATAATTGTGGCAGTTTCTCACTCTGAAGTTCTGAAGGACCATCCCAGGTATACATTTGTAAACCTGAGTTCTTCTTGTCCTCTCACAGGACTATCAGTGTCAAATAAATGTTAGAATTATATCAGGGCTCAAATGCAACTGAACACTTTTTAGCCCCAAATGTTCCAATTGCATTGCTTCTATGCATTTTATCTTAATACAGCAGAAAAGCATTTCAGTTTTAACAAGAAAGCAGGAAAACCTATTATTTATGGAGAAAAGCCAATTCTCAGCACATACGTTTCATAAATCTCAGCAGTTTTTCTCCTGGGTGTTTGAAGAAAATACCTCTTTGTTTGTTTGTTTACTTTCATTTCTATGTAGCTTGATTCCTTACAGCAAGCCACCATAGCATAGGGATAAAAAAAAAATCAGTAATAACAATTAATTGCAGTCCCCATTTGCTTCACCGTAAGTCATACAGTAGGTAGGATAATACTGTCCCAAATGCTCTCCTGAAAAGTAATGCTTTCACAGTTCTTCAGAAACATAACAAGGAGCAAGTGGTTAAAATGTCTGAGGATAGGCTGATCCATTTGCCATATAAGTGATGGAGAACAAAATTGGGTAAGATACATTGCCTTTAAATACCCAAAAGAATTGAGTATTATTGATATTCTTACCCTGCCCATGAGAGTTCACTACTGGTAGAATGAGTCCCTTAAATTGTACACCGATGTGAACATGAACACCTAACAACAAGGCTACTTTCAGCAGGATCAACTGCAGCTGACGGATACCTACAGATACAGTAGGAGCACACAACGAGAATTGGTTAAAACAGAAGAAGATGTGCTTTGAAAGTTTCAATAGTCTTTCTATCCTGCTTCTTCAAAATTCAACTTTTGCTTTTATTGTGTGTCCCAGGGAAAATAATTACCTATATCTTTGAAGATATAGGTACGCCATGGCATCAGAATATGTTTTCCAAGGCCTTCACTGCTATGTATCGTTAGTCTACAATGTATTTCTTGACTGCAGGTTCATTTTCTGTTGATAGCTGATGCTAACACACAGAAATATCCATCACTTCAACATCTGAATTGGGTATTCTAAGGTGGGTAGCTATTACTAGTTTTAACTTTTTTATATTCTTAATTCCATTTTTTTTCACATCGTGCTTGACTTTCTTTATTAAAACTTTCAGCTCATTTACATGTTCAGTTGTCAGACTTGCATTATCAGCATAACATAGCTAAACTTTCAAGTACTTTTTCCTGCCCCTCCTAAAATCTATCCTGTCCCCAAGATGTCTGCAAACCCTTTGTGCTGATATTGCTGGCGCTTGCTTAACAGCAATCCTGTGATATTACAGGCACTCTTCCTAACATACTTACTGATGTGATCCAAGGATCCAGTGCAGAAACGGCCATAGAATTTCTTGGCTCCAAGGGCCCGCAGGTCCTGGATAGTGAAAGGCCAAAGGTGTAGCACATTGTTTCGGGAAAAGTTATCTCTCTTCTCTACCACCACAACGTGTGCTCCAAGGAAAGCCAATTCAATAGCTGAGCGGAGACCACAGGGCCCTGATCCGATGATCAGACACTGAAAAACATTGTCACAATGAACAGTCAGACATAAAGAATTTGGCAAGACAACGCATACTCAACGGCACTGAAGCTAGACAGGAACTTTACACAAGACTGAGTGGTATTCAAACTAGGAGCCACAATATGGTCTGTGGGATAGAAAGAGACATTACAGAGTCCTCCCTCAGTTCCACATTTTTCCTTTCCTTTGCTGTGGACAAAGGAATGTTAGCTAACTGTTATAGTGGAACTTCCCTGATAATAAATTATCATTTACAATAATTGCTCACAAGTAGCTCACTAGTTCTGTTGACAGTTAAAGGAAGCATTCTTCTATTCAGTCAGGCATCCTCTTCTATTCAAAGAAGAGAAAAAGTCCTACTTTAATCTTAGTGAAAGTTGGAATATAGCAACATTAGAAGTAATTGAAATGTAATATTTTTAATGTGCAAGCATTGAAAAATACTTGGTTGCTTGAAAAATTGGACCACCATTTTTAAAAAAATTAAACGATATTTCCAGCCTCCAGGCAACCAAACATCCAAGTCCTGTTATGTCTCTTGACAAGTCACTGCAGACCCAGATGAGACTGCTACAAACTGTCCCAGGGCCAGAATATATATTTAAGGTTTATCTTGACCATCAGACAAACATACCTGCTGATCTGTGTTCAAAGAATCCATGGTGAAACTGATGGGAATAAATCTGCAAGTTGTTATCAGTAATGATGTTCACATAGCCAGAATTCAAACAGTATTTCCCACTAACTTGTTGAAATGCAATTTCAACTTTCTACACTATCAAATACTTGAAAAGCTCCAAAGTATCTTCCCAGCAACAAAACAAAAAGGCAATATTTCTGAAATACAAATGAACTTTATGATTAAAAAAAATGTAAAAGTCAGGATAGCTTGACCTCAGATTGAGCCAACTTGCTTCGTGGCTAGTATTCCTTTATGTCACAAAGTGGATGGAGCAGCTAATTACTCCTTTGATCTAATTTTGTAATTTCAATTAATGTTCATAGTTTTAAACATTAAAATATTTGCAATTTTCATGGGATATTTGTTTCTTTTAAAATACTTGCAGTTTTCTTGAGATGCCTGTTTCTTTTTATTTGTGTTTATGTCTAGGTTTTTTTTTGTCTCCTGAGAAACTATAATTTTGTTGCTAAAAATAATGCTTATTCATGTACTATGTAAAAAAGAATAAGCAGTTATATTAGTGCAATTATTTTTGATTATTGTTAAATGTAGAAACACATTTGAGGGAATTCAGTTTTTTCATTTTACAGAATTATGAACAGCTTTAAAGGAAATACTTTTCTTCTTTGAAAAATATAGATTAAAAAATGCAATCATCAGGGATGTGGGGTTTTGATAGGAGTATAGGAATGAAGAAAACCATCTGTAAATAAGGAACCAGAAACTTATAACACTGAAAGACAAACCTAAACCTCTTCATACCAAACAGCAGGAAAATTAGTAACAATACCCAGGCATCAAGTATGAAACTAGCTTTTATACTGTCTAGACTTATAATTATTACACATATAGACATATACCTTTGCATGTAGAAGAACTAAATATGCTATACTACCAAACTATAAAGTGTCTTCATAATTTAACCAAAGGAAAGTTAGTACTAGTAATCAGACACCAGTCATGAAGCCAGTTATTACAATGTCTAGATCCTAGTGTCTTAGCATCTCATATGGAAACCTATCAAAAGGAATCTGAATAAGATTGCAACTATGACGTGACTTTTTACCTTGGTGTTTGAACATGCTCTTCCTTGGTCATAGTCTCTGTGTCCAGCCTTCTTGTCCAACTTGGTCCACAAAGCTTTAGCACTCCAATAATTGATAGAAGACTTGAGCTTGTGATAGAAATGGATCTGGCCAGTGTGTTCCAGATTCAGATAACTGCACAGCTCTTCAAATCTGCTCAAGACCTCTTTGCACTGCTTGGCATGCAGAAAGGCATCAAAGAGAGAATGGGACTGATTTGGTTGCTCTCCATCTTGCTGAGTCATTCTCCTGGGACTTCAGGGGCAAGAATGAAACCTGGAAAAGAAAACAGAAGATTAAAGATGTGTATCAATGTTCCTGTGCCCAGAAGTGATGGAGGAACTAAAGGCAAAGTACAACTCCATTTGTGCCTCCATTTGAGGCTGACACTTAGGAAGAGGAATGTGGAGTCCCACCACTCCTTTGCTTTTAGAAGCAGGTATTTTTCAGGCAATGCCTCTATTTGAGCTCTAGATGTACTCAACCTTAGCATAAGGTGTTGAGGATACTGGGGTATTCTGCCATTATACATGTTTAAGACTCTTCAGAGTTGCTCAGTAGCCAAAAGAAGAGACATAATAAACCAAACCCAGAAAATCACATAGTATTATTCTTAGCTATTCTATAGCAGATGCCAGTTGTTTTCATAATGGGAAAAAAACCAACCATGAGTGTCAACATTGATTCAAATAAAGACCTTTCACTTTTTTTCTGCTGAGAATCATTCCTAGTTGGGTTTTTTATTTTTATTTTTGGCTCCACACATTGTTAGTGCAATTTAGAACAATTTTACTACTATTACCTTACATCATCAACCGAATCTAAAAGATATGACAATCTAAAGAGACTTGTGAAACATTTTATCTTTGAATTATTTCAAGCTTCAGATATCCTGTGTGTGAAACAGATGTTTAAGTGCAAAAAAAGCCATTTTGAAATATGTTTTCAGCTTGAAATACTTCCCAAAATGTTCTACCCCTAGTTCAGGAAGCTTTTGAGCACAAAGCAAAAAAAAATTTAGACTAAAACTGTTCAGATTCAAACTATCGGTCTAATGCCATCTTGCGAAGCAAATTCTAACCATAGAACTTCTGGTATAGGCTTAGCCTCTTAACTACTAAGTTATTGACCTCAATGTCAAGCTCAAACAAGCCATTGGAATTATTATAATATGGAGGGGATTAAACATGGAGCAAGATGATGAATTAGCTAAGCAAAGACACAGAACTATAGCACATCCTCAATAACTAATGTTTCTGTGCTTTATTTTTCCTAATTAGAACCATGAAGAAGGGAAGGTTGATTTTAGTTAAAATACACAGACGTAAAAAGTTAACTTTTTATCCTTTTATTGTTTCACAAATCTGAATTGTCTATTTCACAGCTAAAGTTTGTTTCACGTGGAAGAAAAATACAGGTAAGATAGAAATTATACCCCGACTCCCAGCTTACAATATTCCTCTGATCAAATTAGCAATCATCTTTTTTATAGCAGGGCAAGTAACTTAGAAGGAGGCTTTCTTCAAACAGGAATAGTGTGAGACCTTCCTTCCCACACATTGTCTAGGAATCATGTACAAGGGGCATACATTTCAGTCATGCTTCTTCTTTTTTCAGTCTTGGTTAATAACTGCAATAATTTGCATAATTTGTCAGACTTGCTGCTTATAGTCAGCACTACTCATGCAGTCCTGAATTGGAATTACCAATGACCAAATTCGTGACTTCCATCCCATTCTTCATTCTTTTTCTTCCTACACAACTCTGAAGTTAATAGCCACAAAACATTTCTCCTCCCCACCCCACTTAGAAGGTTCTGACATCTAAATCTGTCTTAGATATTTTCTTTTGGCAAAATTTAAGTTTTTGTGCAAATTTTAATATTGTATTATTATACATAAATATGAATACTAAAGAGTGCTTTAAAATAAAACAGATAGAGGAGCTAGATCTTCTGACAAAAACCAAGCGCCATTCATCCCACTTCTATTCCAGGAGCATTTTCACAGACTCAGTACTAGTGCCGTACACTATGTCAGAAATTCATATATCTGCTTTGTTCTCCAACATGATACAAATCATCTCTTGATAGCAAAGTGTTATAATTCTGCAAGAAAAATACACTATTAAAGGAACACTTTAACTTAGAACATCATAGACCTTAGGACGGTCTTTCTCAACTAAAGTTACTTGTACTGAAAGGCAGGTTTTGCCAGGAAAATTCTTAACCACTTTTCTTCAAGAAGTTCAATGTTTAACTGCTGTCACTTGAGCAGAGATAAAGGTTTTTCTTTAAAAAAAAAATCACACTGCATGCATACATTAGCTCATTGGTTCATGGAAAGTTTCTGCTGTCACCCATCAGCTGCTTCTGAATGGCTGTAGTTGACCCAGAAAATTAACATCGTATTTTTGGCATATCATTGCCTTGACTTGTTTACAATTTCATTCCTCCACATATGTGTTTATGCAGTTTCAACTCAGTTTAATGCATCAGTGATTTTATGAAATTGTTCAGATAAATCTATGGCGCATTACAAAAGTTTTTATAGTGATTCTTAAAGTGATATGATTCTTTATAATTTTCATATAAAATAACAGTCGTTTATTTTATTTAAAATAGATATTCAAAATTTCTGACTAGGATAAACCATTCTACACTGTTATCAACTAGAATGAGCAATTTTCTTTCTCCCTCCCTCCCTGCTCCAGACGATATCCTGTAATCACTTGTACAATTAAGCTCTATTCAGTCTTTCATTTCTGTGAGGCAGAAAACTATTTGGGTGTATCTGATGTGTAAATTATACAAACATGGAAGAAAATGAACCAAGACCACAAAACTGATTAACTGCCAGATCCAAACTAGGAGTCAAAAAGATCTGAGGATCCAGTGTCTTCCCCTGTTCCTGCACTCTTGAAGTTTTTTTTAAGCATCAATACTCTATTGCTGTTTGAAGCTGGGTTGACTTTTACTACATATACTCTGTTTACAAAGCTTTTCAGCAGGAGAGAGTTGTTAGCATAGGCATTCTACTGAGGTATTGCATGATGTGGTCAACATAGCATGTGACCTGAGCTTGAAGCAAAATCCTTCGGCAGTGATGAGAATTTTCCTCCCTAGGAAAGAAATCTGTTTCTAAATGGAAACATTAAAAAATCAGATGAGATATTTATGATTAACCAATTCCACCATGAAATTATTTATGTAATATCCTAAACAATCAGCCACTCTCCTCAGTCAAGGAAGGGATGTTTCTGACTTAGCTGTATATTTATTTAATAAATATTAAAGCTCCATAGCACTAGAGGTCTTTATATAGCTATCATGAACATTTATTGTACTCTGTCTATTCAACTGATTCATTAATCAAAGGTCCAGTTGGAAGTAGAGACTCTAGGAGTAGCTGTGGGAAGCAACCTGGCCTCAGAAGAACTTTCTCAATACTGCATTGAAGAGAGGATGCCATGCTACCATGATGTGTTAGATTTCTCTAATCATTCTCTAATCATCATTAATTAAATTCTCTATAACCCTAGACAACTTATATTTTTATTGGCTCCCTTACCTATCTTTGTTTTGGATTTATAGGTACTTAAGATCTGTGAAAATCTCTACAATTTGATCTCTATGATTTGATCATTCCAATTATTGAGAAACTTAGCACCATATCTACGCCATATACATTCTTATTTTTTGTCTGTATTTTTTCCCCCACAAGTCATTCTGGAAGGTCTATCAACCCCAGATAGCAGAGACAGTGCTTGCAGTTTCTCACTGAGTACAACTCAGAGAGCTTGTAAAGAAGATCACCAGATCCAGAGACATACACATGCAGATTTTCCCAAACAATACAGACTTTTAAAGAAATAGCACCTGAATTAATTATGTAATTCACTTGATCTAGAGATGACTTTCCACCAAAGTCCTTGGCTGGTATACAAAATGCTAAAAATCTAAAAAGAAATAAAAATATATAAAACATAAATCTAATTAAAATAAAGTTATGTCATCACTGGTAAGAGGCTTAAACCTTTTTAAAATGAAAAAAAAACAAAAAAACCCAGTGTAGCCCAACTGATATTTTACAAACTTTATGTCTCATTTGGAAAGTAGAAGAATGGCACTAAATGGCAGATGAGTCAAATTGGACTATGGAGGCTACTATACATAGCAACTCAGAATATGAAGATTATCAAGCAATCCTTCCAGAACAAGTTGAAAACCATTAACTGAACTGGATGAACCATTCATAAACAAGAACTGTATTATTTAAATTATTGTTGTATCAACTCAGCCCTTCTTTCATTGCCTTAACTTTCTGTCCATTAAATGCACCTTCCCCATTTTGTAAAGAATATGACCACTGAATTTCAATTTTTCTTGAATTTCAGAAAGGTTTTGAGATCTTTTAAATTGGAACGGGACAACTCACCATGGCCAACTCATCGCAGCCATCTCATCGCGGCCACCTTGCCACAGGACAACTCACTGAAGCCAATTTGCTGCCAGACAATTTCACATGGGACAACTCAACATGATAAAGGTTATCCGCCACTGTTTCTTCAGTGTTATTTCTATTTTTGTAGAAATGGACAAAAAAGAAAATAATGTCAAAGAAAGAGTGGTGGACAACATTTAACGTGTTGAGATATCGAACTGTCCACATCGAACTGTCCCACAGCAAATTAAATGTGGTGAATTGTTGCATGGCAAGTTGGCTGTGGCAAGATGGCCATGGTAAGATGGCCATGGCAAGTTGGCTAAATATATGGAACGCCCTGTGTGAAGCCCTACTCCCAGTTTCAATGTTAGCTGCTGCTGCCCCAGCTCATAAAGGTATAGGCAACTCTGTTTTACACCTGGAAAATTGCCAGAAAAATCTCAAACAAAAGGTTTTTGCTAAGAATATATGAGAAGCTGGTGGTAGAGGTAAAGTGATAGCTCAAACTGTCATTTTTGCAATAAAATCCTTATCTGGATCTTAATGCTAGATCAGTTCCACATTGCAAAACAAACCCAATACTCCTCCCTATTCTAACTTAGAAATGTAGCATCCAAACTTGTTTACCAGGTTGTCCAAGTTTCTAAAAGCCTCATCCACAGGTTATAAACTTGTTCTTGCACTGTATTGCAAAGTATTTAAATTCCTTCAGATACGAATCTTGGATTGTAAAGATCACATTGAACACTCATATGGAAACCAGAGATGATCGGATGAAGGGAATATTTCCCTTTTGGGGAAAGATGAGGCAGTGGTGGGGCAG